TGGCCTGTCTTTTCCCCTCCTGGCCCTCACCCTGCAGACAGTGCTGAGGTACCACGAGCCTCCCCTGCGCGCTGCTATAACCTTCACTCTGCGTGTCAACACAGAGATGACCAACTGTAGCCAGGCCAATGCACGTGTCCTCACCGTCCGCATCCTTGCCAGGTGACCCCAAGGGTTGTTTCCTCCTCCAGCAAGACCCACTGTGCTTGGGGACAGCAGCTGGGAAAACCTTGGGGCTGCTGGGGACCCGGCACTTGGGGCGGACAGAACAGAGTGAATTTGGTAAGTGGAAGGGGTGGGCAAGGAAGGTACTGGCTATCTCCTGCGAGAGGGAGCAGTGGCTGCTGTGCCCCCAGTCCCGGCTGGGCTACCTGGCTCAGGGTCCTGCACACAGGGTATGGTGGTGGAGGGAAGGGGGGCTGGGAGGGCACTATTCTGACAGAGTCAGACCCTCCGGCTGTTTCTTCTTCAGCTACATCGGGAGCAGAGTCACATCCAACATGGTGATTGTGGAGGTCTCCCTGCTGTCTGGATTCATCCTGGCTCCTGGATCCAGGATGTTGGTAAGGACTTTGGAATAAAAAAAAAAGCAGCTGTGGTGAATGGGTCCCACCTGCTTGCTCCTGTTGGGAACTGTTCATTTCAGGCCATGAGGTGAGTAAATTAGCAGGGTCCCTTTGCTGTTGTAATTGAACCAAACCCTCTCATTTCCATACAGGGCCCACAAGGGTTGGCTACAGGAGATCAGAGGTGATTCAGCTTCTCCCACTGACACTATTCTGCCTTGGGCCAGGAACAAAATATGCTGCTGGGTGTGCTAAACACCAGGATTTGTTTGCCAGAAATTCTAAGACAAGATTTCTTAGAGAGACTCTAGTTCTAGCCAAAAAGATTATTTTTTTCCAATTAAGCCATAAAACTGAAAGATGAATTATTTGCACAGCCCCCAGGCAGATCTTTAAGAGCAGTCTAGCAGTCAGTGAGATGAGATAACAAGAATCTTTACTGCTGCCTGCACCTGTTTGCTGACCCAACGCATCAGTCCTATGTACTATCCACATGGCCTTTTGTCCCCAGAGTGGGAGATTCCTCTAACTGAGCAGGGACAGCATAGTTTGTCCCCGAGATGCTCACAAGGGATGTCCAGGAGGGACTACCAAAGATATAACCACTAAAACCTTTATGCGTGAGAAAGACACAGTTCCAGAGTCCAGCTCCACACCATCCCTCCAATACAACAGTGGCTCCCTCAGGTCAGGAAGCCCTAAGGAAAGTGCTCACAAATTTCCTTGTGTTATTGTTTCCTATCCCAGCTGGAGCGCAGAACCATCGTTAAGAAAATAGAAGTGAAAGCTGATGTGGTCTACATTTATCTGGAGAAGGTAAGTGGAAACAAAAGCATTTGGTTTGGCACAGCAAGAGCAAGAGGCCAGAGGACAAGGAGCTGTGTGAGAAGCTCAAGGCTGGGCTAGGCATGGGGAAAGAGCACTGGTAGAACTGTGGGCAGAGGAAGCTTGCCCAAATTCATTGTCATTGGGTTAGCATTTGCTATTCCTCACACATACTCCATTTCTAAAATCCAGAATCTCTAAGGGATTAGAGATATTTAGTGCAGGAAATCGTTCAAGCTAGGGAAGATGAAGATGCAATGACTTCTTTCTCCCCTTCCTTGCTAATTTCTTTCCACCTCCACAAGCTCAGCGATGAATCTCAGACTTTCATTCTGCAACTGGAACAGCTAATTCAGATGAAGAACCTGAAACCAGCCAGCATCAAAGTCTATGATTACTACCAGCCAGGTGGGTTGCAGATTCCCTCCTACTCTGGGGCTGGGAGCTGGGTTCCTAGTTCTCTGGCTGGGAAAAGACGTGCACTCTTCTCTGTGTGTATGCGCGTGTAATCGACTTCCTCATTTCCTTTTGCAGAGGAGCGAGCCTTGGCTGACTACAGTGCTGCCTGTAGTTGAGGTAGGCAGCAAATCCCTGTGTGACACAAACAGTGGCATCAGGAAATGATGGGTCTTGGGTGGGAGAGAGGGAATGTAAGCAATCAAAGATGGGAAGGAGGATAGTAATCAGTGGGGAGCATATATCCAGATAGAAAGAGGAACTGGCGCTTGCCTGTGGCTAGGTGTGTGGAGCTAGGATGGGGGCTCTTTTGCAGCCAGGGAGGCAGCTGGAAGGCTCTGGTGGAAGGCGGAGACAGGGACAGCGTCTCTCAAAATGAGAGTGAGGAAGGAAGGGCTGAGCATCACGTGGAGTGAGAATGCAGAGCTACAGCAACCTGTGCTAACAAGGGCCCTCAGACCCGGACACAGCTCCATTCCTTCCACCCCCGCACTGGGTGGGTATATTCACTGCAGGGTAGGAAAGGGGGATTCAGGGAGCCAAAGGAGCAAGCTGAAGCAGGGAAAATGTAGTATTTTGTCTTGTGGGGTGACATACCCAGCTGCGAGAAGGGGGATGGCTTGTTAGTAGTAGACTGAAGCCAGGACAGGTCTGGAGAAGTCCCTTCCGGAAGGTTAAGACAGAATCTTGACATGGTACATGCTGCATCCTGACACCATCCCACATCCCATGCTGCCTAGGGACCTGCCTAGAGAGCCACCCCCACTACTAGCCAAGACAAGGCACCTTCCAACAGCCTGATGATAGCCATGGAGGGACTGGATCATGCCCTCCTTGTTTGTCTTGCTTTCTGTCCCCACAATCACACATGGTTCCTCAGAAAGGGGTGGAGGAGCTCCCAAATTTGTGATAAAGGAAAGGAGAGGAACTGCCACACCATGACTCCTGCCTTTGCCCAATATTTCAGGTTGGGCACTGAATGGAAGGAAGTGCCCCAGCTGGGACACAGCCCACATTAAAGTTGAGCCCATGTGGTCCTGCACCTGAGTGGATGGACTGAGGGGTCACAACAGTCCAGCAGTTGTGCCTGCACTGTGAGGGCAGGGGTTGGGGAGGGGGGTGTGTGTGTGTCACATATCTGGTACACCCCTGAGAAGAGGAATTAAAGTAAGTGTGACCCCTGACCTTGCCACCATTGTGCCAGTTGTTGATGAACTACAGGCTTAGCCCATGAAGATATCACTTCTGCCCTTGCCAATGTACAAACCTTCTAGCTCCTCTATTGCTCTCTCCTCATGCTTCCCATGGTTTCTCCTAATACTTCCTGAAGTAGGACTCAGGCAGCTTTGGAGTACAAGATGCAACTGAACATGCTGTGACAGCTGTATCTCCTGTGCCATTCCTGCAAGCTCCTGTGCCATCAGCTCTTCTTTGAAGCAGTCTCCAGATAGGAATGCAGTGCATTGACACTCTAGCTCCTCACCCCACTTCGGTAGTTCAGCCTTGCCAATTGCTCTTGACAGAGGTCTCTAAATGCAACAGTTGGCCAAAGGAACTGTTGCACATACCCCAGCCCTCCCTTGCCTTCAGCTCCAGCTTGTGTGATGGTCACCTCCCCCAGGTACCAACTCTGCCTTGGTGCATGCTCTACCTCCTCCTGTGCAAGTCCGCTACTGGAGGGGCAGAGTTTTGCACATGTACATGTACATACACATGCACATACTTATAAGAGGTGAAGAAGTTATTTTTCCCAGGTGCTCTTAAATGCAATTTTCCTGTTTTGGGAGAAAAAGAGTAAACCTGAATAATCACTCAATCAGACAGTTCTAGTCTCCTGACTTTTAATAAGATGCTAAGCACACTCTGAGCCTTTCAGAAACTG